GACTATGGGGGGAAAGGAGGTTTTAAATCTTATTTGGATCAAATTTTAAAAGGAGAGTTGTCTCAAATCATTTGTTTGCTAGAGTGGTAACTGGCTATGACACTTGCTTGTGGCAGAGTATAAACGTTATGAATTTGAAGGTGGTTTGTCAGACCCTATACTGTCATTGTTGGAGTATGCCAGGATGAGACTGGCCTTCCTAGGTCTGACCTCTCTGTAAATATACAGATCACATGCTTATGAGTACTTGGTTACTGTATTGAGTGTAGTAAATGTCGTGTAGCAGGTCCTTTTGACCACGGCCTTGCGCGTATTGCCCATACTACCACACTAAAGCCCCTCACAAGAAAAACACAGGCCACTGAGGTGGATCCAGAGACAGACCTTGAAGTCCCTCGGGTGCTCAGCACAGTTCTCAGTAAACGGAACTTAACGAGGCAAGCACCCGGGCCAGGGGCCTTCAAGCCTCAGTAAACGGAACTTAACTTGGCAAGCACCTGGGCCAAAAAGATAAGAGTAGGGACACAAGCTGTTCCATACACTAAGTTAACGAGCACTAAAAAAACAGGACAAGATAGGAATAAGAGAAATGAGCTGTTATATACATCAGTTCACAAGCACCTGGAGCAGGAAAACAAAAAACATAGCTAGTTTTCACATGTGCCAGTCATGTCTGCATCAGGCACTAACCACAATGCCCTGAGGCAGACGTCATGTCACAAGGAAGGAACCCTAATATGGTACCGGATGTCAAAATTATAGTATAAAGCACCCTGAGCCCTAAGCTCGGGGAGGTTCCGTATCAAAATAGAAGGCACGTATCGTCCAGCCTAGCTAAGGGGTTGATCACCCAAGGCTGCCTCCCACCCACCGAATCATGAAAGGGTGTACGAATCCGGAGCATGCTATGCATTGTTTTTTGTCTGTGTATCGTAATTGTCACTGGGTTTGTAAGTATTGCTTAATATATTATTTATCAGCTTAGCAATAGTTAGTTGTATTGTATTAACCATATAGTATAATCAGGGCTCGACAAACTGTGTAATCTACTCACCCGTGGCGAGTAGATTACAACCTGGAAGAGCCGGGTTCGGGCAATCTGTGCATGCGCAGATCGCTGGACAGCGTGGCTGGCGAGCAGGGCTCGCCGCGGTTCGGCGAGCCCTGAGTATAATGGTACAAAACCTAGGTCTAAATAAGAACTAGGAGTAGAATTGAGGGGTTGTTAAGTGAATAGGCAAACTAATAACTAACTCTACCGGCTGGTCCAAGATAACCATAGTGGGATTGGCTGTAGGAGGAGTTTTTATTATTGTTGTATTGACTTTTGTATTGACTTTCTTTGATGTATGTTTTATTTGCATGCTATGTTGTCTTAAACAAATCAAAGACAGTAATTTAATATAATCAGAGTGTAGTCAATAAAGTTTGTAATTGGTTAAGTACATTTAAGTCTTGGGCTTTCCTCCTTCGCTGCCCCAGTCCCTTGCCACAAAACACCACCCCTAGAGAATCTTTCGAGCCTCTGGTTCATCAGTAAATTGCTTATTGTTTAGAGTTGGTAGCCATGTTTAGAGCCATTTGGAATACCAAGGAATGCAGACCCAGGCTATAGATCAGCTCAGAGCAAAAAAACATTCTCTGAGCTCCCTCTGCTGCTCATCTAACAAACATTGGGCCTGATGCTGCTCTTAACATCTGCTTCTAAGCAACCCACAGGGTAGGTGAGTGTGGTTCTAACTTTCCCTGACCCATGCAGCCTCCAGAAATACTTTGGCCGCCTCTAACATAAGAGTGGTCATACTGGGTCAGACCAAAGGTCCATCTAGTCCAGTATCCTGTCTGCCGACAGTGGCCAACACCAGGTGCCCCAGAGGGGGTGGACCGAAGACAATGATCAAACAATTTGTCTACTGCCATCCATCTCCAGCCTTTGACAAACAGAGGCCAAGGACACCATTCCTTACCCTCTGGCTAATAGCCTTTTATGGACTTAACCTCCATGAATTTATCTAGCTCTTTTTTAAACACTGTTATAGGCCTAGCCTTCACAGCCTCCTTTGGCAAGGAGTTCCACAGGTTGACTGCAAGCAGGTTGACTCTGGAGTTCATAGTGACCCAATTTTCTTACTGATTCTCCAATGAACAGATGTTGGCTCCAGGCAGAATTGGTAATCAAATGGGAATAAATCTGAAGCACATCCAGGGTTGCCTCGCTCTGGGTATCTAGCAAGACCCAAGGTAGAAGTTACTTGCTCAAGATTATAACAGCATGTAGCAGGGCAGCTGCCCTGTACTGGCCCTTTAAGAGCCCAACCCCAGCCTGAAGCAGGCCCGGGAAGTTCAGCCCAGCTGGGCGGCGTTGGCCAATTAAGGCCCAGCTGGGAGCTATAAAAGGGAAGGGCTGCTTCAGCCAAGGCAGTGTGAGCCTGGCTGCCGAGGGAGCAGGACGCTCTCTGGAGCTAGGGCAGGGCTAGAGAGTCAGGCTGGGCCAGGACGCTTGGACAGCCAACCGGCCAGCCTGCTAGGCCTGCGGCAAGGCGGGGAGCCTGGCTGCCGAGGGAGCAGGACGCTCTCTGGAGCTAGGGCAGGGCTAGAGAGTTAGGCTGGGCTAGGGCGCTCGGACAGCCAGCCGGCCAGCCTGCTAGGCCTGCAGACAGGCCCGCTGGAGAGACACCAATCCCCCGGAAGGGGGGCTCAGAGCGAGTGACTTGGGCACTGCCGGAGGGCAGTGTGGCGAAGAGAGCAACGCGACTAGAAGATTCGAGAGGGGAAACGCCCCGTGAGCGGAGGCCTGTGCGGGCGGAATGGACTGATTCCGGGGACAGATGACGGACCCCCGCTACGGTGGTGAGTGACCCCCTCACACAGCAGAAGAATTTTTTGAGGACAATGTCCAACCCCATGTGTCCTACCAGTAACTAGCACCTCCATGGACTGCTAGGAACAGATTCTAGATTTTCTGGCCAAAAATACTTATTTCTCCATCATCTCATGGCACTCGAGTCCAGTGTCTTACTCCTACACCCATTCGGTCTTAGGAATGTCACAAAGGCAGCTCTGTGGGCAGCAGGCACCCGTCCCAGCATAATGACTTTGCTTTATATGGTGCCTAAGTTAGATGGCAGGGTTAGTGTGCCTGCAAACAGGCAAGGCTAGAAATCAACCCAGCCCCCAGCACTGTTCTGCTCCTCCCTCCCATGTCTCTCTGGCCTTCCCCCTCTCTTCTGTCCTGTACTTCCTCATTCCTTCCCTATGGCAGGGACCCACATGCCACAGTGCGAAGAATCTAGATAAATGTGTAGATCTCATTGGGCTAAATGACTGAAAGCAACATTTTCCTTATGTGAGGTTGGGTAAAGAACTGATGTTGGCCAGAAGCAGCTAGAGGCATAGCTAGTGCCAGCATTGGCCTCTAACACTGGGTTGGCTCAACCTTGTTCAATAAAGCTTGTGAGTCAGGGGAACCTCTGGATTTTCTGTTGCTCCTAAAAGCCACCAACAGCATGTGGGACAATGGTGCCTTTGTCCTTCTGCATGCACTGTCCTATTCTCTCCCATCCCAAGCACCAGGCAGCTTCAGATGCCAGGGGATGAGGTAGAAGAGCAATCCCACTTCAGTGCCAAGCCTCTGAAACACCATAGACATACAGTGTGCAAAGGCCTTTATTGAAAGAGAGGGATGTGGAGCTAACTGCATGCATGAAGCTTTTGCTTAGGCTTGGATTTCCACATCCACATGGGACTCAAAGGCTCACCACACATTCTCTAGCTCAATGGGGCTGCTGGGTTCATCTCTGGCATAAGCAGACACGGCTATTGGAATGCTCCCAACATGGTGCAAGTACAACTGGAAGAGGAGCTGATCCCTGCTGGCATGGGCTGATCAGAGGGCTTGGGTAAGATGTGGGGGCGGAGGAAGGATCAGTATGATGAGCTGCCTCGAGGGAGAGATTAGTCAAGATCAGTGAGTTAAAATAAATAGCCTGCTGTTAAAATGCCAATGCTGAGCCAGGTCTGCGGGCCTAGTGCCAGCCCAAGGCTGCAATGTTGATCTTGACTGTAACTCTTCCTGCCCCCATCACTTCTTCCGGCTTTCCCGCTGCAGGGCAACTGCATGCTTCCGCAGCTGGCTCCAGCACTCGGGTATCTGCTGGCTGACTCTTGGCAGGTGCTGCAGCCTAACAAGGAGAAAGCAGGGGCACAGACCTTGTTTTATTCCCCATCCCAGAGCCCTCTGGGCTTTATCAAACCAGTTAAAGAGAAATCCGTGTGAATTAACCACTTTCCTCCAATGCAGATGGAGATACAGAGCAGCCGGACACTCTTCAGATGGGCTGCTCTGGGCTGGAATGCTGGCAGCAAGCAGCCCCCTCATGTGTGTTCTTCTCTTTTAGCCTTTGGGAGCACAAGCTAGTGTGCTGCATTGGTACTTGCTGTGAACTAAGCTAAGGTCTGCTGCAAACTTGTCCTTCTGTGGGTTGGTGATTTAAGCTCTGGTTATTAGGTAATGTGGGTCTCCAATAGTGTTCATGCTAAGATTTTCCAACCGTGAGTGGAATTAGTTTTGGCTTGTGCCCTAGTATCGGTCATGTGCGCTGGTTGGGATGTGTGCCACTGTGGCATCCAATTTATTATCCTGTCCTCTGGAGCAGAAACCTGCCCCCCTCCCCTGCCATGCAGCATTTCCCATTCCTGGCACTAGCCACCAGAATAGACCCTGGGCCCCACTGCCTCAGTGGCTCCCTCACCACTTTGTCTCAGCCGGCCCCCTCTGCCAGAGCAGCTGCCTACCATGTGAGTCCTGCTGTGTGGCTCTCCAGAGGAGGTGGGCAAGGGAAGAACGTGTTGTGTGCAGGCGCACATCTTAGCGGAGACTATGGTCTCCAAGTTTAACAGTAGAAAGCAGACAGGAGAAGCTCTTCTCAGGGCAGAGCTATAGGGAGGGGAGGCACTACTGATTTGGATGAAAGGCTTTCTGTGCCCTGAGCTAGCCCTCCACTCCATGGCCTCGGGCCTAGAAAAGCACTAGGTAACAGAATCCTGCTAGGCCACTTCATAAGAACGGCCATACTGGATCAGATCAAAGATCCATCTAGTGTTTTCCAATAGTGGCCAATGCCAGATGCCCCAGAAGGAATGAACAGAACAGATAATCAAGTGGTCCTTCCCCTATTGCCCATTTCCAATAAACAATTTTGATAAGCAGAGGCTAGGCATAGGCTTTTAAAAGTAACAGTGCATCCAGTAAGTGATGTAACACTGCCATCTAGTGACAATATGAGATAGCAAGGCCTCTGCCTAGTCAATGGTATATTTGCATCAAAGATGCAATACAAGAGTTCCCATTCAAGAAGAGAAACCTGCTGTGCCTCTTAAGTAACGGAGGAATCTGCCCTTCAATTGTGTTCACAAGGAAACAGAACCATCTGGAGAGATCCCAGAGGCAGAGCTGGATGCTTGAGGAGGAGTGTCTGTCTGCTCTTTTGCATGGACACAGCTACCCTGTATAGCCCAGAGTGTACTCTGTTCTAACCCAAGGAATATAGGAACAAATCAAACCAGTGACCTGGAGTGACGATCCTGCCTCCGGCCGTTTTGGAATTTCACAGGTGCCCTAGGGTGGGACCTGCCCTACCAGGAGTTTGAGCAAAGTCTCAGCTTCCAACATTCCGGACTCCTGATGGGAAAAACTTACCTTTCATGGAGGAAAATGTCACATCTCTCCTCCCAGGGCAGGTATTGCAGGGAGTCAGGAGGAGGCTCCGGTACTGCTGGGAAAACCTCCAGGGATTGGTAAGAATTAAAATAAAAAAGGAAGATGGAGCTTTGATTGTATTTGGTCTGTGGCGGGAGACCCGCCTGCTGCTGCTCATCTCCTGTGGACCGGAAGAGAAGACATGGCTGTCTCAGTGGGATATGCATTCTGCAGAGCCGTCTCTGGAGGCCAAGAGCGACCCAAAGCCACCATGGAGCTGGCTGCACCAACCAGTGTGCACTGTTCCCCAGACTGCTCTGATTTCAACCTACTCAGTGGGAGAGAAGAAAATGGCCTCATTCAGAGCAGGGATCACTACCACTGACCAAACAGTCCTGAGCCACCAGCTGACCACACAGTTCTGGAACTGGTGTGCTAAAAATAAAAACATAAAAATGGCCGCACTGGATCAGACCAAAGGTCCACCTAGCTCAGTATCCTGTCTGCTGACTGCGGCCAATGCCAGATGCCCCAGAGGGAATGCACAGAACAGGTAATAGTCAAGTGATACATTCCCTGGTGCCCTGACAAACAGAGGCTAGGGACACCATTCCTACCCATCCTGGTTAGTAGCCATTGATAGATCTCTCCCCCATGAATTTATCTAGCTCTTTTTGAACCTGTTAAAAACCAGGCCTTCACAACATCCTCTGGCAAGGAGTTCCACAGGTTGACTGCGTGTTGTGTGAAGAAATACTTCCTTTGGTTTGTTTTTAAACCTGCTACTTATTAAAAAGCCTGTTTGAGGCTCCCAGTAGGCCTCAAGAAGCCACCAAGAAGCACAGACTTAACACAGCTGGCGCTGCCACCCCTGGGTGGGCTCAAACCACCTTTTAGCTAACAGCTGAACACACTGACCCACTGCACCACAGAGACGTTCCAGCATGGATATCCTTACGTTGGGGCTTAAACAGCACATGCTGGGGCTGGCAAAAAGCTAGCTGAGCATGTGGAGTTTGGTCCTCCTCCCTCTTCTTCCCAGTTGCTTCATCACCCTGGAGCAGCTACTAATATAGCAATGCTTTCCCAGTGTCACTTGCAGCAGTGGGCTACCTGGACAATTATCAGAAGGGAAGTTCTAGAATCACAAATGGGAAGGAGGAGGGGCAGGCCATGGCTAATAGGAAGAGAGGTACAACCAACTGATGGAAAGTAGGACTGGAGATGTGTAGAAAACATTCTCTCACCTAACATGTTGCCCACCCTTTAGAAAGCTGAGGACCCCTGCAGCAGCTGACAGAGAATGATACAAGCACTCAAAGATGACCAGAAATTCAACCCTCAGGTTGCTGTTTAATCCTAGCAGCTGCTATCTCCAGAAGACCAGTTGCAGGGAAAGGAGAGGCAGCCAGTCTACTCAACCTGATACCCTGGTCTAATCCAGCCTGGGCAGTGACTGAAGCATGGGACTGCAATCCCCATGGCTCCAGCAATGATGTTTAAAGATTTCAGTCCCTGCTGCCCCATGCAAGTCCTGTTGCTTCACACTAGCAGGAGGCACTGGAAGGCCAGTGCACGGCCTGTGAGCAGCTTTCAGAGGGGCCAGCATACTGATGGATACCAGTGCATCAATGCTGTACAGTGCTAATCTGCCTGGTGTACAGGGCAGTTTGTACAGATCTTGAAGCCATCAGGGGAGACCCCATCCCCATTTCATATTGTGAGTTGATTCTTCCACCTCCTAGGACTTGCTAGCTTGAAACCCTTGGCAGGAGCTAGAGCTCTGTGACCCTCCTTCCCCTCCCACCTGTGACAGGAGCAGGTTGTTCCCTCCACCTGCTCCCATCTGTATCAGACTCCCTACCTCGGAGGAGCAAGCATTGGCTATTGGTATCCAGGGTAAAGACTGGCTGCCAGGGGGATGCCACTGTGTGAGAAGGTGGGGTGATGAAGTGGCAAACAGTCTGTGGCGTGGCCGTGTCTGTGAGGCACACTGTGCCATCCCAGGAGAACACCAGCACCTGAAATAACAACAGGGCACAGAAGCTGCAAGGAGAGCACTTGCAAGGCTTACGTCCTGGCTCTGAGTGCCCTTCCCATGTCCCTTGGCTGAGACCCTGACAGCCTCAGTCCTTCTGCCCTAACAGGATGCAGAAACCCTGCAGCCCAGAAATGAGATGCAAGGGCCAGAGCTGCCCAGAGAGCCCAAGGCAGCAGTAGCAGCTGTGCAAAGGGTCGGGAATGAGGTGCAACAGCAGAGCAGAGCTTGCTCGGTGCTTGCTGTGCTAGGGCTGGCTCCAGCCAGATTCTTTTAAGCGTTTATTTTCCACCAGGCCCTTGTGCCTGTTTTGAAATGGATGTCCATCTCCACTAGTCATGAGGCTCCACATTCCACCCGTAGCTTATAACTGGGTTGGGCTGGACTCTCCATGCCTTAAAGGACTGGGATTTCCTGGGGATGCTTCCCCTCAGCCCTCACCCAGTCCTCTGTGACAGAGACAAGCTGCTAATGCTCTTCCCCCCAAGGCCCTACACTCTGGCATGCTCTTCAGAGGACACAGTGCCCAGAAAGGACGACTTGCAACACTCACTGCACCCGGTAAGGCTGGAATTGGTGCTACAGCACTGATGGTCTGATCTGGGTCCTCAGGCCTGTAAAATAAACCCATCCTTAGGATGCTGCTTGGGTGCAGACACAGCACTTTGGCTGTGTCTACACTACATGCCTCTGTCGGCAGAGGCATGTAGATTTGGGTTGTAGGCAAAGGTAAATGAAGCCGCAATTTAAATGATCGCGGCTTCATTTACATTTACATGGCTGCCGCGCTGAGCCGACAAACAGCTGATCAGTTCAGCTCGCTGCTCGCTGTCGGCTCGCTGCTAGTCTGGACGTTCCCCCTGTCGACATCAAAGCCCTTTGTCGGCAGCCCCGTTATTCCTCGTGGAATGAGGTTTACCGGGGCACAAACAGCTGATCAGCTGTTTGTCGGCTCAGCGCGGCAGCCATGTAAATGTAAATGAAGCCGCGATCATTTAAATCGCGGCTTCATTTACCTTTGCCGAACAAACAAATCTACATGCCTCTGTTGACAGAGGCATGTAGTGTAGACACAGCCTTTGTGGAACCATGACAGCAAGAGCTGCAGTGCATGATGTAGGGGTTGGTATGGAATTTAGGCCAAATGCTACCCTACTGAAATCAGCAAACTGGGACTGGCCCTTCCCCCAAAGCTCTGATTGGCTAGAGCACAAGCAAACAGGAATTAGGCAGGCGCAGGTCAGGGAATTCCACCCCAACCTCTGTTCCAAGCTTTTCCTGGGAAGATGACAGAGAAGGCAACAGCAAGACCTCCAGGTGGCTACAACAGGGACAGTGCTGGCTGAGCCATGGCTCCAGGCAGGGCTGGAGGGACAAGCCAAGGACAGCCTGAGCCTGTGGTCTCATGAGCCTATATCACCATATGTATCAGCCAGAGCCTAGAGGGAGGAGATGCTCTAATCCATGCCTGTAGGACTGATCATAGCATTGTGATTGTATAATTACTGCTAAACAAAAGGAGTTGCTGTAAACCTGAGTATTTGCTACTGACAATGGGGCAGGAGAGTTTGCTGGGTGGATCCCTGCCTTCCCCAAGGCAGTGGTGGGGTCTCCCAAGAAGAGGGGAGGTCTTTGCAAATCCCTTCTAGAGGAGGGGAACCCCCACTATGCTACTGAGACAACTGGCCTGCCACCAACCTCTGTGGGACCTAGCAGACCCCACCTCACCTGTCTGCCAGGAGCACAATCCTGGACTCTCTCAGCTTCGACACTGTAACCAGGTGGAGAGACCCATCTGTACACAGAACAAGAAGCTGCACTTTAGGGCTAGGCAGCTGGTCGCTTGGAGCTGTAGGTGTCTGCAGGAAGTGGATAGCACGGCTGAGACATCCCTCTGGAAGGGCAGTCACACTTAGTGGGAACCCTGGGAAAGGCACAAGCACTCAACAGTTAGAAACAAAGCAGTGAAGAGTTCCAGGAGTCAGCACTGAATCTGGCCCCGGTGCGCTGTGTGGAGCTCCACCCCGCCTCTCCACGATGAAGTACTGAAGAGCTTGTAAGTACCATAGCGAGCTAGTGACTTGCATAGGATGGGTGTGGAGCACAACACCATCTTACCAGCATGGCAAGGAACTGGGCCATCTGTTTTGGGCTCATTTTTCCCACTGTCCTCCTGGCTATAGCACAGCGTGGCTCGGCTGCCACCAGTATTCCCGGTAAGCTCTGCACTTGGGCAGCCACCCAGGAGAGATTCAAATGCTGCCCAGCTGATTGGCAGAGTACCCACAGTTGGCAGCAGGCGTTTCTACTGGAGGTGAACGTCCACACGTATTGGCGCACATAACAAAATGTATCCTGCACATGGATGGATAAAACTAGAGGGGACATTGGTTGACACCACCTCAGCTTTGGCTTGCGGGACCCAACCTTTACATTGCCTTGTGGTAGTATCACAGTGTGATGACGCTGCACTCTCAGGATATGGAGTTGGGTGGGACTGGTGCTGCTGCAGTGTAGTCACAGTTTCTACCCAAGTGCAGAGTAGGGCAGGCTCTTGGACTTTGCGACAGTCATTGCAGTACAGCCCAGTGATGCTACGGACCTGTCAGCGTGAATCCTGTCACAATGTGGTGACATGTCAGGCCCAAAGACAGTGTAAGGCTATGTCCTCAAAATGGGGAATGTCCCACAATGAGTCAGGCAGGGCACTCATAGCCTAGCTGCCACAAACATGACTAGGGCAGGGCAGCCCCAAATGCATTTTGGTGTCACTCTCTTGCAGGATGGGATAGTTCTGTCAGAACTGGAGCTGGCCCCTGAAAACCCAGGCCATGTGGCGTGAGAGACTCTGCGACTCAGCTAAAGCCACCGGGGATGTTTGGCCAGCTGTTCCTAGGGAGCAAATGAGCCTGCAGGTTTTTTGGAAAATGTTCTTGAAAGCCCCTCTGTGATCCCCAGCGTGCACATCAAGACCCCCAGGCACTAGGGAGATTCCCCTGCCAGCCTCCCTCAGAGACTCCCTCAGTTCCAGCAGTGGAAGAGCACTCACCTTGACATTTGTCCCACACAGTTATCGTCCCATCTTCACATGCCAGAGTCAGGTAAGAGGAGCAGGAACTGACAGCTGAGCAAATGATTGGAGCAGCACATGGCCAGACAATGTCAGGTTTTAGCTCCGCATCTGCGGGGAGAAGCATGGCCTCTGAACAGCTGAGTCTCTTCTTCAGGGAGATGGGGATTCTCCCTCCCCACCACACACACATGAATCCCCAGGGTGTGTTAACCTTCTGGGGATGAGTACACTGGGTGCAGGTCAGGAGTCACCCAAAAGAGTGGCCTCACTTGGGACGCTGTCCATCTGGGAACCTGCACCATGCAGCTGCCACCCTTGTGTAGTGGAGACACACGAGCCATAGAGCCAGCTCCTCTCCTCTCCCATAACTCACTTCCCCTAGCTAAGGAGAGCTGACTCAGCCCTCTCTCTGGGCACTGGCCAACTGAGAGAGAAATGAAGTACCTCCTGCCCCCAGCCATAGGGATAAGGATGCTGCCTTTACAGGGTTCCCGTCCCAGCTTGTCTGGGAGAGCAACTCCCTTCATGGTGTCATTAGACTTTTTGTCCTTAAGCCCCCTGCTAGTACCTGGCTATGGTGGAAGTGTCCTCGGGTTAGACACCAGCTGTGCTCTAGGCTGAGTGCTTGCTGCTCATTGTTGTGAATTACTGAATCACAAACGTCAGTCTGTGGGAGACTGAGCTCAATGGGGAAAAACACACAGGCTACGTCTACACTGCTGGGGGAGGGGGGGTTCGGCAGAAGATATGTAAATCGTGCTCTCATATGCATAACTCCCGCAAAAAGGACCCGCAGAAGATATGCAAATGAGAGCATAATTTGCATATCTTCTGCCAGAAAGCCTCCCCAGCTGTGTAGACGTAGCCACAGTGTCCTGCCAGGGTGAGAGGTATGGAAAGGTAGGCCCATGCCCTCTGAGAACCGTCAGCTCACCAGTGGGGACCCTACTCAGAGAGAGAGAGAGATCCTAGGGTGACCCTACTGGGAAAAGTCAGATGATCCCCAGCGGCTGCAGAGTTAAATGGAAAAGGTCAGTGCAGAGTTAAAGGGGAAAGCCACTTTCTTTTGAAATACACAGCAGCAGTTTGAAAATAACCATACTCCCCCCCACCAGCTCCATTTCTCTTCTTACCTGTTTTCTCCTTTGGTGGCCGAGTGAGTAAATACAGGCAGAGATTGTGGCTTCCCTTCCAATGCACGCTGATGCCAATGGGTACGTCTGGAAAAGGGAGCAGGAAGAGGGGAGTAAGCAGCTCAGAAACCTCGGGTGCTTTCTCTAAAGACAACCCCAGGAATTGAGGGCATCTGAGCTACACAGAGATGTCTCCTGTGCCAGCTGTATCGTTAGCCTAGCAGAAATTTGTCTGGGTTCTGCATCCCTTGGCATTGCTCATTCAGGGTGAGAAACCAAACAAAAATTCTTCTTCGAGGTGATATTTTCCCCCGCCTGGCTGTGTCACACCCTCCTCCACCAGTTTCTCCCCCACACCTGGCAGTCCCCATTACAACAGATGGTCTAGACAGGAGGAAGCCCAATCCACTCAAACCCTCTGAGGACACAGAAGTGATTGGAGAGAGAGAGAGAGACGCTGTGTTCCTGCCTTCAACAGCCATCCCCCCAGTGCCAGCATATACTGAAAGCAGAAGGCACCTTGCCTATAACAATTTCCTTGGGGCCTCCGCCATACTGATTCGAGTGATGAGACACTGGTGCAAAAATGACAGGCTAATGTCCTGGTGCCTGGTACTTGCCTGCCTGGTTAAAATGCTGGTGATACCAATTAGTTCAGCCAAAGCAAGGCTGTTTCTTTCACTGTACCCCTGAATTCTACCGCAGCCAAGCTGACACGGTGACTCAGCCAGTCAGGAGCACAGGGCATGCTCAAACGTGTCCAAAGTGGGAACCACATCTTAACAGAGAGATTGACTCAGAGAGACTTCCCCTCCCGTTCCCTATGGCCTAGCCCTGCCTCTCTGATACTTGCAAACCCAGAGCATCCCTCTGACAAAGAACCATTAGGAAAGCATTTGTGTATTTGGGGCTTCTTTAGTGCAATAAGAATCATCCCTTGTAAAGAAAAGTGAATCATGAACCACCAGAAGGCAGAATGCAATGGCATCTGTTGTTCCTAGCCTATGGAAGTGCCCACTTTTGGAGAGAGATTAGAGAGAAATCATGTTGGCTCAGGCCCACTATGGAAGTTCCATGCTTTGATTAGGATCACAGGAAAGTAGCCAAAGATGCATCTAGTCCTGCATCCTACCTCCCAGGGTGACCAATGTCAGATGCTACAGAAGAGACTATACATCTTCTCTTTTGTAGTAACATACCACGGAGCAAGTTCTTATGAAACTAGCTGGCATTTCACATATGCCTAGTGCATGAGGATTGATCGCCCTTATCACTTTCACCCTGGCTTATGTATTTGTAGATGCTATTCTTTCTCATAGCAATGACTGGTCTAGGTTGAAACTCAATATCCTGAAGCAGTGAGTTTCACAGGTTAATTATGTATTCTGTTTATATTACCTGGCTGTGCTTTGAGTTCAGGTCCCAGCTGCAGTATCCGGTCGGGCAGCAGAAAATGAAACACGGCATGGCTGAGAAAGGAAGGGACAATAAATACATGCTATGGAAATATCTTGATAAACTCAATAAACAATTCAACACAATTAGGAGTGGCTGTGGCCAGCCCCTCATAGCTTGGGACCAGGGAGCCAGCCTCTTGGGCCACCATTCAGAGTAGCAGTTAAGAAGTGCCCCGAGACAGTGGTGTGTGATGACAACTCTGAATCTCTGGACTGAAATGCCAGCATGCAAGAGATAGAGACACACTTGCATGAGTCTCCCTCTCACCTGGGTTTCTCCTCCTTGCTGTCAGGCTCACTTTCCTTTTCCAGGTGCATTTGGAAGGTGCTACGAAAAATTGCATCCTGCTGTTCCCATTGGTAGTCTTTGATCATGTGATTCTGTCCCAAGCCAATCACACTGCCATCATCAATCTTCATCAAGGCTTCTAAAGGGCTTTTGAATGTGCTTCCTGCTCCAATTGCAAACACCAAGGGGAAGAGAGAGAGCCGCAGAAGGAGCAGAATGCATTGAGATCTAGGAAAGCTCTTGGGGAAGGGATAATCATTTCCCTTTCATTTGCGCTTACGCCATCAGGGAGGTGAGGTACTTGAGTCCATTCTCCTCCTTTGGGTGAATCCACCTCTCCTAGGCCTTTGAGCCCAGCCCCTCTACAAAAGCAATGGTGACTGCTTTCTGCCTCAACTATCTTTGAGGCATAGGGCCTTGCCCCAGGTTGCCTCTCTCTCTGCTCCTCTCTCTGTATAGCTCAGGCAACCAGACTGGGCCTGGCACTGCTTTTGGTAAAAATAAAGCTGGAGGGAGAGGAAAATCTGCTTAGACCAAGCAGTGACGGGAGAAGAGATTCAAAGCTCCATGAGGTAAGAATTATAGATGCATGAGTGTGTGCCATAGCCACTAGCTCAGAGCTTTGGCAACAAGTGGAGCTTTTGGGCACCAGTGTAATATACATACATAATCATTAATAGAGGTGATGCATCAATAATGCAACTGGGGTGCCAACAGCTGAGTAAGCAGCGAATCCCACTCCAGGATCAGAGATGAGCCACAGGGGAAAGGGAAGGGTGGTGGTTTTACTGTGATTGTTGATTTTTATGTTGCTACCCAGCCACTCGCGCAGAGAGAAACACAAACACACAGAGAGGCCCAGCTGTTAGTACTTAATCAGACTTGACTAAATTCCCACTTCACCACCAAAAAGTGGGGGAGGGAGGTTGAAACAAGGCGCCTGACCTGTCAGAGGTTTGGGCGACTTGATCTTCAGCAGCAGCACTGGGAGACTCAACTTACTTTCAACTCTATTTGTAGACATGGGTGATTCCTGCAAGGAAGAGACAGCCACTCTGAGCACTGGCACTTTCAGGAGCTGCTCTGTGGCCTATGCTGCCCCTTGCCACCACCACCAAAGTTGTCATAGCTGAACCCCTGCAGAATTGCTCGCCTGGGAATCAAACCTTCCCGCCAGAAAGGGTTTGTAGCATTCACTTCCCAAGCCTGCCACTCCAACTGTCACCGTGTCCACTACACAGGCCACGTCCTGCCAGCCTGAAGGAGCACACACAGCCCCATGGGATCCTGCTTGCATGAGTGCTAGACTTGGCTAGGTACCTGCACAGGGATTGTTGAGACTGAGGACTTAGCTGTATGCAAGGGGAAAGGAAGTTCTTAACACAAGTACTTGGAGCAGTAGAGAGGAATTTTAGTTGTTCCCTTGGGTCAGAGCCATTGGGGATGGGGAGCTGGTCTATCAGTGTTGAAGAGCAGCGCCTGTTAAAAGGCAAAAGCAACCCCTGCTGATCTGGGGTTTGGAGGGGACTAGCCCAGGTGAACACTGGAATGGATCCACTGGATGCTTGGAACAAAGAGTGTGGCCCAGATTCCTCATGCTCCTCCCTAAGAGCTGGGATGCAGGGGGTTCCAGGTGCAGCCACCAATTTAACATCTATAATCTGCCCGGAGATCATGGTAAGTTCTCACTCAGGTCTTCATTACCATTTCTGCAGAGCCCTCGCCCGAGAGTTCCAAACTTTTCTGCCAAGGAAATGCGAGGACTGTGGTTAATTCACACAAGCTGGCCATGGTAATTCAGAGCATCCCCTTCTCCACCTGAACAAGTAATGCTCTGGCACACAGCCAGGTCTTCTCTTTGGCATGGGACTGAAAAATGAAGCCAAATTAAAGAGGCCCAGACTGGAGGATCAGCTTCTGTGGCTCACACTTGGAGATCCCACACCCAATTCTCAGTTACACTATGGCCCTTTTTGGCCATTCTGCCAGCCTGAAGGGCATTGAAGGGGGATAGAAATGGCTCCTGAGAAACTACTCTGCACTGGACACTTCCCCACGTGGGGGCAACACTGAATTCTGGCCTCTTAGCCAGAGGAACCTTCTTGTAAATTATCTTGCAGGTGACAACAGTGACCCAACAATACAAGGGGCTTGTGAAACGTGGGCTGGGTGACGATGCCTCAGCTCTTTTCCCCATCAACGTGCTGACAATCCTCAGCCTGTTCGACACTGAGGTTGGGAGAACAGCGGCGGGGCTGGGAGAACAAGGCTTCTGGAAAGAGATGGAGGTGAAAGGCCAAGACAGAAGATATCACAGTAGGAAAGAAAAACATTTTGTACAAT